GGCAAGTCTATTTGTGGCTTCCATTTAGGCTTGAAAAGAGAGAACCCCCAGAAAAAGATTGTCCACATGTTGAGAGTACATTAACCAAACCTCCAAAATGCACTAACCTCTAGAATGGAACACTGCTTCTTAAAAGCTGACAGCAGAGTCAATTGGTGATTATTTCACTCATTTTGATTAAAAGATGAAAGTAGAGAAACATCAAGAAGACAAGAAGTCAGTTGTTATACTTTGTGAAGTCTCTTTATAGGTCTTCTATTCCATAAACGCTGACATAATAAAAACATTACTGAATCATGTCTTCAAATTTTTCACTCTCTTCCCTTTGACAGCAAACTGTAGTTTCAGGATCTTATTTAAACTGATTTGTTTGTATCCTAGATCAAGGAAAACGTCAATTTTGGGTGAAGAGTACCTAAATACACCTTTCAAACAGTCAGCTACTTTATATAGCATACAATTAGAGAGACCTGGTCCCATCTCATAAAGAGTTTCTGCTGTCAGATGCCTGATCTCATTGTGAATATTGCTTAGCTTTCTCTATGGTTTATAGTATAGAAGCACCCACCAATCCCAAGAATTAATGTATTTCAATATGAAAGCAAAACGTGTAAGACTGGAGCAGGTTTGCAGGAAGCCACTTCACAGCTTTGAACTAGCCTTTCAAAACAAACTCGGGATTAAGAACAAAAAGTAGAACTAAGTAACTTAAGTAAATACCAGTCATAAATGCCACTAAGCTCTTAAGGAAATTGCACATTCTTTCCGTATCATGCCTGTTAAAAGTATGATTTTTCATGCTATTATACTTGTATTTCTGTGTCTCCTTTCTCATTTGTGAAATGAACAGTTTCACATTGTGAAATGAACCTCTTGCATGTAGTGTTTTAAGACCTACTGATGGAATTACATAGAGAAGCTATACATGTATATTTCTGAGGCACAGTGGAGTTATATGATTTTTTAATAAGAAAACCTAAAGAGCTTTTAATAAGGAACCTACAAACTAAATGAGCAGTGCTACGACTACAACTTCATCGACTGGAAACCCTTACAAAGAACTCAACAGGGCGCAATAGCGCATCCTATCCCGATGCTTCCAGCGCCTCTCCCTTCACCTTCCATGCAAGGTGCAACTTTTCGCAGAGTCGCTTCCCCCCCTGCGGGCGGAGAGGGACCCCGGCACCATTCAGCTCGGCTGCCGCACCTCCTTCCCTCAGACAAAGACGGCCGCAGTTGTTACCGGTGACAGCGATTCCGCGGCGGCGGGAAGCGCGGCCGTGCGGGGATCCCGGGCTCCGAGCCCGGCACGACCGCGCGCCCGCCGCCGCCCCCGACCCCCGAGCGCCCTTTCCACCGCCCCGCCCGGCGCCCCTCGCAGCCCCGCACCGCCGTTGCCTCCTCGCCGCCCAATGCGGCCCCTTCCCTCACACGCCTTTCTCGCCGCAGCCCCTGCCCTCACATGCCCCGCGCACGGCGGATCCCCACAGCCCCTTGCCTCACACGCCCCGCTCAACGCGGCCCTTGCCCTCGCCCCCGCGATTCCCCACGACGCCTTCCCTCACACACCCAGCTCGCCACACACCCTCTCTCACACGCCCCCCGCCGCCGCCCCAGCTCACCTTGCTGCAGGTCCTGCTGGTCGTACCAGGGTTCATCCTCGCGGATTTCGAACTCCTCCACCAGGCTGTCGGCCAGCATCGCGCCCCTTCCCCTCAAAGGCGGCTGAGCCGGCGGCGCCCACCCCACGATCCCCCTGCGCCGAGCGGGGCAGAGCGAGCCGGCAGCCGCTCCCCGCTTCAGCAGCCGCCTCCGGCCATTGCCGAGCGGTTCCGGACTTTGCCGAACCTCTCCCCCTTCTGGCCGGGCTGCGCCGGCGGCAACGTGGCAGCTGCTGCCGCCGCCCGCCCCCCGCCTCCCGCGATTCAAACACAGCACCCTCGCCTCGCCTCGCCGGCGGGCAGCCAATGAGGAGCCGCCCGCCGCACAGATCGAAAGGAGGATAAGCCACTCATAAGGCTAATTCATATCAAGCGGCCAATGACAGCGAAGATAGGGCGGGCCCAGGGCGGCCGCGCCCCGCCCCGCCCCGCGGTGCGCAACCTCTCGTCAGAAGAGGTGGGTCCGTGCCTTTGGAAGGGGCGGTGGTCGTCGGTGCTCGGGGGCATTGATGGCGGGGATCGGCTGTTGAGGGATGTCGGCTGCGGCGGAGCAGGGCTGGCACAGCCCGGACTGGGACAGTGCGACTTGGTGTAGGGAAAGCCGGGGCTCGTAGTTGCCTCGCATTGGGAGCGCTGAGGGAAGAGCCCACGAGGAGGGACCCGGCGTGGCGGCCAGGTGCGGGGCCGCCTGTCCGCCGGAGTGCGGGAGGGGAGGGCGGATAGGGGAGCCTGCAGTCCGAAAGGGACTGGCCGCATCCCCGTATCTCGCTCGAGCGGCTGCCGCTCGCTCTCGGCTCTTCTCTGCACAAAGCGAAGGGAGCCGTGTTTCCTGCCCGGGGACCCTGCTGAGAAAAACGAGCGTAACTTCCCCATTCTTAACAGACGAGCCCTTCCAAAGGTGCAGTCCTGCGAGCCTCGGCTGGCAGGAGCGCAGCTCCACGGCGCTTGCAGAGCGGGCTCTGGCCGCTGCCACAGCCCGGTGCCTCTGTGATCACCCCCTGAGTGTTTCCCCTCAGCGCTACCCCTCGGGACTAGCAGCGCGTTTATTCTCGCTTCCGTCGTAATGTGGTGCCAGTCACGTCCGAAGGATGAGGAAGGTCCGTGTGTCCAACCAGTCTGTCAGGGCTGTGAGCATTGCACAGTGGTTTGGGACCAGAACGGCAGAGCAGGATGTCAGCTAGTGCGCCTCAGGCAACGTTTGCTATTCTCTATCGGAATCCACTTTTTTTTCTTCAGATTCTTGCTCTAATTTCTTTTGTCATCCTGCACTGGAGAAACGCAGGTAATGTCACACTGCATCTCACTGACCCGAACAGCCTGTTCTTTCGGTCTCTGAGTATTTACACAGTTGTAACCACCAGAAATTTCTGAAACCGATTTGCCTTCTGTGAGTCACAAAATGTGCACCTGTGCTTTAACCTGCTCAATATAAAGGCTGACTATTATGAAGAGGGAGGGGATGCTCAGACATGATTTCATTGTAGTGCTATTAAAGGGAACATCTGGGAAAGGAAGTGTGGTACCTCAACTTCTAATTGAACCTATTTCATAAACAAGGTGCAGGACCAGATGTACCAATTAGGGTAGAGTTGTGTCAGATCCTGCATATTACAATTAGTCATGGTACTAGAGGCCAGTTTGTGCATTGTTAGAAGATTTTTGTTGAAGAAATTTCAAATATCCTTCAAATTTTCTGAAACTGAGGGGACCATTTTTCATTTGTGTCAAAAGGAATCGAGTCAAACAATTTAGAAATGACTGCTGGTAATGTTACTATGAAGCACTTTTATTCTTGGTGCTTATGGAATTTGAAGGAAAGTTCTCCATTTTGAAGATCTGTGCAGGGTGCTCCAGGTAGAAATAGAGGTAAAATGTCTACTTTTCCAAAAGCCCTAATATCCACTATATAAATAATTTCATTAAGTATATTTGTGAAGGCTTGAAAAAGTAGATGTTACACTTACCAATAACATACTCACTGTAATGACTTTCATATTCATATCAAACTTATTTTTAAAAATAAACATTTCAACTGTACATCTTTTCAATAACCTTTTTCTTAATTTTAGGTTTCTCAGTAAAAGATTGTGAAACCAAACTTGCTACAAAAATGCAAAATTTTGTCCCCTGAAAATGGTTTTGTCTTTACAGATGTAGAAAAATAAGTTTAAAGGTATACATCATGGTCATTCTGAAATATTTTAAAAGTCAGCCATATTCTTAGAAATAAATTGGCTTTATTAAAATGAATCCTAGGCTTCCAGTTGTTTGTCAGCTTGATTTTTTTTCATAGCTATAGAGTGAGATTACCTATTCTTTGCATAGTGTTTCATATCACAGCATCTTACATATACATGCAAGTGTGCACCCATACTTTATTTGCTCTTCAAGAGTTCATTTTCTGTGTTGGGGGATGGAAAAACTGCCTGTTCCATCTTCCCTAGTCCCTACCTGATTTGTGGTTTTTGCATGGTCCTGGCCTGGTGATTGGGAAGTTCCTCCCTTCCTGCACAGCAGCCACTTTTCAGCCGCCTTGTAAACCACAGGAAGGCTGGAAACAGCCTTGGCTTTCATTTCCTGTTTCTTCCATGGTTATTTTTATGAGGAGTTCAGGGAGCTGCTTATAGAGCTGCTGATCAAGCAGATATTCAAACCAGGTATTTTGATGGATATGTGAAAATTGCATTTAGAGTAAAATTGTTAATATGCAGAGGAGCAAAGTGTGAACTATTGACATAAAGCAGGTTGTAAAGCTCTTCATAGAAAGGCTGAAAAAAAGCCCCAGTTAAAAACAAATACCTGGGAGTAATTATGTATTGGGCTTATAGAATCAAGTATGGTCAAGGGCTTATTTTAGGTAGCTATTAAACAGCTTTAAAAGATAGAGGTTCCCTGGAGCTGGCTCTTTTCATGGCATAGTTTACACCAAACATGCTAAAGTAATTGATGGAAAAGATCAGCATCTTAAAAAATAGTTGACTGAATATCTGATTGATAGATTAAAGAAATCTGTATTCTTGGGCTGAATCTCTGTTGTTTGGGCATACATAAAATACTGTGTGCTACTTGCTATCTTTTATTTACATGCAGTCTTCATATCATGAAAATGTTAACTTAAAGGTGTTTTAATTGTTTTATTGTTTATTAGGTGAAAATATTGCTTCCATGGTTTTTTAACAATTAGTACTTTAAAATAGTAGGGTAAAACTTGGTATTTGTTTCGAAAGAAGTATTCCCCTATGTACATGCTGCGTTTGACATTCATAACATTGGAATACGTAATTATTTTTGTAATTCTCTTTTGTAACTTGAGGAAGAAGAGAGCTGTACTCCTGGAAGATGAAGATTCTTTGGGGAATTCATGCTAATGCGCTGGCATATTCCATGACTACCTTAGGTGCTGGAATGATGAACAGCATTTTTAATTTCTACTATGTTAAGCTTTTCCTAAACCGATACAAAATTTCAGAAAGCGCATTTCATATAGCACAGGTACTGTACAATGGAATATTTTAATTACCATGTTGTGCTATGCAACAAAGAAGTGATTCTTTTAATGACAGATTAATTTTGGAATCATTGCAATTAATTAACAGTAAATTATCTTTTACTTTAGTTAATCCATAATCCATATGGAACTTACACATAAAGCACATTATTTACAGTCTGCAGAGTAAAAATCTCCAGACTTAATTACTGAAAAGATTTTTACGTTTGATAGCTTGAAGTAATTTTCTAAACTGATCTTGCACCTTAGCTCTGTAGATAAGTTTGACATTAGTGCTTTCCTATGAACTGTTTAAGTACTTAAATACTGCATTTATCCTGCAAGTCATTATCCACGTGAGTAACTCTTGTTGTAAATGGTCTCCTGAAAGTAATGGGCCAGCTCATCTTTTGAATTAACTTGCTATGAGAATAATATCTGAGCTTTGCAGAATAAAAGCCCAGATATAAAAGGTTTTGAAAGAGTAGAGTCTTAGAGACAGTTTATTTCACATGTAGTTGGTCACCTACCTACTTATTCATCTTATTTTTTCAGCATTTCTAATGACCTATGACTACTGATAAGTGTTTGTTTTAGAGTCTCTTTTGACCTGAGTAGCTTTTCTATGTATTTATTTCTTGTCTGAATAGAGGTTTATTTTAAATAAATATGTTGTGTTTGTGTAACTTCTGCAGAAGAATGACAGTAGCGACAAATTCCCTTGTTTGTGGCAGGTTGTGTTTATGATCTGGAATGCCATCAATGATCCCCTTTTCGGGTACATTCAAGACAACTCCAGGCTGAAGTGCTGCGCAAGGCGCCAGTTCTCGATTTTATACGGAGCCCCTTTGTACGGCTTGGCCTTCCTGCTGCCGTGGTTCCCCTGGAGGCACTATGAGGAGGGGGACTGGCTGAGTGGCGTCCACCTCATCGTCGCGCTGTGCGCCTTCGACGGCCTGCTGACCTTTGTGCTCCTGGCGCAGTGCGCGCTCTTCGCCGAGAGCTCCACCAGGCACGAAAGCAGGCTCCAGCTCATCAAGTACAACCAAGTGGCAACGTTAATCGGGTCCACAAGCATTCTCTTTTGTGGGCTCATATCGGATAATATGGAAAACTTTCCTTATTTTCAGGCTTTCACTGTTTTGATAGCAGTGCTAGCGACAGCTTGTATGTGTTGCACAGGTAAATACAGCACAAGTCAATACGAACAGAGAGAAATTCATACAGAGGATGGTAATCCGGGAAACAGTCATGGAAGTTTCTCCTTGGCCTCGGTAGTTTCATTGACCAAACAGATCATGACAGAGAAGAACTTTCTATGTTTTGTAACAATGAACTTCTTCCAAGTCTTCCACCTAGCCTTTTACAACAATTTTATGATGATCTTTGCGGATAATCTTATTCCTAAGGATGTCCTGTCTTCCTCAGTAAGAAGTATCATGTATGGAGCAGGTTTTATTTGTCCTCAGGTAGGCAGTCATACGTCTTTATTTCTAAATATGAAAACCTGGTGTTTTAGTAGTTCACAGTATCCATTTAACACTTGAAAAAATGCTGTATTTGGCAGAAGGCATTGGCCAAAATGAGTACTAGATCTCACTCCCCAGCGCTCTAGAAGAAGGAAGTACCTCTGTGCAGGCTGATCCAAGTGTAGGAGGTAGAGCAGACAGACAGGCTGGTAGAATATCTGTTTAAAACAGTGTGAGACATGAGTAGGCAGGGGATGAATGTTTTGTATCCTCCAGTGCTTACAATACCTAAGCATAAAGGAATGAAAAACGTGGCCAAGATCAAATGTTCCTAAAAGCAAAATCTACAGAATTCTGAATTATTTTTTGTTTTGTTTTGTTTTCTAACACTCTGTATTACAAATTAAAGACTAAGCTCTTCTTCAGGAGGTTTCTGAAATAAACTGCGCAAAATACCAGAAAAAATTATAGAGTTTGAAAAGCATTGTTAAAATATGTATCTCAGTCATGGAAACCAAACAAAACACTAAATAGCTGCTTTTGGAGAATAATACATTCCCATTTATTTTGTTGTTTGGTCTCTTGGTCAGCAGTATTTATGGGTAAGAGAGACATACTTTTAAGAGCCCAGTCAGGGATGAGGGGAGGAGTGATGAACTGAGAAGAGAAAGAGAACCCAAGAGTAATGCTTGAGAACAAGAAAAGCAGCAAAAGTGTGTCCCACAGAATGTTACCATACTTGTCTGCAGTAAATAAAAAATTCCTCTGTTCATTGCCTTCTAACTTCTTTCTCTAGGTCATTAGAAACGTTCTCTGTGTTTACTTGTTGGGTGTTGAAAGTCAGGATACTCAAAATATGAGTATTCATCATAGGTGTTGATGGTGTTCAGGATTTTTTAAAATCAGGCTGTTACATTCATTAAATTGTAGTGGGTTCTGATAAGTAATATATATAAGAAGATAAATGAAAGTGCAACTGGAATTCAGAGCTCAATTTCAGTTCCCCTTTTGTTTTTTGCATATAAAACATACAGATCCTGAGCATACCTGCTGTTCCATAACTCCTGTCTACAATTTCAACTTTTGTCCTTATCACAGGTTTAATAGTTTTGGGGTTTTCTCCTGTACCTCAGACAGTTAGGTAATGAACTTCAGAAATAAATCAGAAGCTACAGAAGTTAGGAAAGCTTAAATAATTTTACACTTAATATATAGCAATCACTTTTATTGTAAAATCAGTGTGACAGTGTGAAAAGAACAATCTTTCAGAAAATGTGTCTCTCTCTGCTCCCCAGAGACTCTTTGTCTAGAAGGTCACTGAACCGTAGAGGGTTTGCTGTAACCTTATTTTTCTCAGGTTTTGTCTCTTTGAGCTCAAGATACAATAAGAGAATTCTCTGATGGCAATGTCCTGAACTTCCCTTGCTGGAAAAACACCCAACCCTTGTAAAATAAAGCTCCTTTTTATGAACTTTGCTTCAAACTGGAATTCAGCTTCTGACTTAGGTTCCTTCGAGTAGTGGGTGTGAGGAATACAACCTGCCCACAAGGAAAACGTTGCTGTAACATAGACAAACAACTATGAATTTGCATCATTGTTAGTATTTTCCTTACAGTCTTAGAGATGTGCAAGTAGTGAAGAATTTTCTAAGTCATAAGTACTTCCTGAGACAGGGTTATTTTGCAATTACAGTGAGACAGGAACATGGTGTTTACAATAGGAGGCATTACAAGATCCCTTAGTATTTCTAGTGGAGGCACTTTGCAGCAAAAATCCCTGAAAACAGCCAGGGGGAGGAGTATGTTTTAAATTTGTTATAACAAGATGTTTTTCTTATACCAACTTTCTAGATTTGTTTTACCTCCCTGATCAAGTAGAAATCTTGAGCTTTTTTACAATAGCATTTGCCATGGTAATCTTTTTCTGACCGTAGCATCCTGTTTTTATTTGTTATGTTAAAGCAATTCAGTGTGGGAACAATTGTACAAGGAAAATTCTTTCCTGTTCTTCATCTGAATATTACACAGTTCATCTCTGTAACACAAAAGAAAGGAGAAAATGTGGATCTTTATACAGTTTGTATATTTGTGACAGAGAGGAGGACCATGTACATGTAGATGGTGACAAAGGCCCATATAATAAAAAGAACATAATTCATTACAGAATGTCCTGTTGAAAGTGAAAAGTGAGGAAAAATGTAAAAGAACTTAAATTTTCTTCATACTATAATCAGCACTTAGTATCATTTTCCTGAGTTAGCCAGTCTCTAGATTCTCAGAATCTACTCCTTGCCAAGATGGGCAAAGTTAAAACTCAGCCATGCAAAAGCACTGGCCTCTGCCTTTCTCTGCTTGCTAGTAAAGCTTCTAACTTGTTTAGTTAAGGCTGTCCTGGTGAGCTTGCTTTGCCAGCTTAAAAATCATGCTTGATTTCAATAAATGCCAATGAAAATAGTAATGTTAATGAAAAAGCAATTACTGAAAATACTTCTTGTCAGCAGTTAAATGGTGAGATGTTTGATTTACAGTTATACTGCAAAGTTAATACTTTAAGGGATATCAAAAGTAAAGATCATGAGCATTAAATAATAGGCATTGTGGGAAGAGTGTTTCCTGCAGGATATAGCAGTTCTCAGTGGCTAGTTTTTGAGTGAAAGGAGACTGTACCTAGAAGAGGTAGCATAGAATGAGCCAGTAGAGGGTTGTCTTTTTTCAGTTTCTATTTTTTTATTTGTTGAACTTCTTAGAAAGGGTCATTGTTTTTTTTTCCTTTAAAGGGTATTAATTATGTCAAGTCTGTGTTTTATAGCTCTCCCAGTGCTGAGACACTGTACTGTATCTTTTTATCCTAAATGTGTATGTATTATCTTTTTAGTGCCTTGTTCTTCTCAGTCATACTTCATTGAAGAAGATTGGTTATTACAGAATCATCTTGTTTTCCTTTTACTATGAAGGAGTAGCTGCTGCTGTCATGTGTCTCCTAGGGCAAGAACACTATTATCTGCTGGCATTCTATGTTACAACAAACATGTAAGTAAATCCACTCCCCTGTTCATAGACACAGCTGAAATACTTCTAACAGAGCAGACACTTGCTTTTATTTCCATGAAGATTCTGCCTCTGCTTTCACGGCTTTCTTTCTGTTTCACTTTTCAGAAAAGTTGAAATTTCAGTTACAGATTTTTTTATTTTTATTTTTTTTTTCTTCCAGCTTTCATTTTATTGTTTTACCTTTTATTTTCTGCTTGAAATAAAAAAGCCTAAAATGCAAACAGCAATTATGGTTTGCAGGCACATGCCTCCAGTCACTTTAACCTGAGATCCAAGGAAGGAGAATCTCATGTTTTCCACAGACATGGAAGAGCTCAGCAGAGGAACTCTCCAGGGACTGTTTGCTGGGAAGGCTCAAACCTCACTCTGTATTGCAGGACCACTTGTGTGCTGCACTGCAGGCAAATATGGGTAGCTCAGGTGTCTGTTGGGTAGCCAGCACAGAGTCCCATTTCCACTGGTGCTCAGTAGTAAGGTGCCAAGCAGTAGTATTTTCACGTAAGTGTATAATGATACATGGAAAACCTTATTTCAAGATAAAGAGCTGTTTGTATCAGAATATTGTTACAGCAATTTGTTTTTATTTCTTCATGTTCTCTTTCATTGTTGTCTCTCTACATGTTCTTTCTTGCCCTCCTTTTCTTTGTCTTTCCCTCCCCATCCCATTTTCATTCTTATTTTCAGTATTGCAGTCATGGGCTACTCTAACACTGAATTGTGTGAACAATAAATTGAATTTCGTTGTCTGCATGTTTTAAATGATGAAGATGTGTTTTGATTTCTTCAAGAGAAAAATCTGAGGTACCTAAACACTGTATGTTTAAAGTCCTGGTTGTTAAAGTACCTTGTTAGTTAAAGCTCATCACACCCAAAATTTAATAAGACACAGAAGTTGTAATATTTGATTTCATTGTTTCATTTGGCTATTTGTTAAGAATCAGCTTTGTGTGTGTGTATGTTTAAATGCATATCTATATACATCTATATGCACTGTAAATACATATATAGGAATGCATGTAAACTATTCTTTTTATTCTAATTCTTCCACCTTGAAGTTTACCTTCCACATGGTCATGTCTTTTCCAGATTTCAAGAGCAAGTTTTCAGTTTTCCCTTTTTCTGAGGTGTTTCTTTTCTCCTGATCATTTTAAATTACATTTATTGATAATGTAAATTTATTGTCAAAGTATTCACCTTTTACAATGATGTCCAGCAAAAAAAAGAAGAAAACCCCCCACTTTCAGGTTTGCATCTAATTCTCAACTAAGAACAGATCTAGTAATGCTTTCAGACAGATCACCATGTTTTAAAGAACATGCCAGCTTTGTGTGCTTTGTGTTTGCAGAATATCAGTGTTTGTGTTAGAATGTCAGTTACAATTTCATTATAAAGTGAATATAAGAACTATGAACATCTTCAATATTTTGTTTTTCTTTAGGGTAATTGTGCAAGCTTCATTTAGCTTGTTCAATTTGCCTTTGGCAGATATTGTTGATGCAGATTTAATAAAGCACAAGAGGAGGTAAGTCAGTCATTACTGTTTTTTTTTTTTAAATATGGTGTTTGCCTTGTTACTCTTTGGTAATAAGTTGTGTCAAAGTAAAGAGACAGTAAATGATCTGGGATCCTCGATACAGAAATCCTTTTTGTGAGAGCAGCTTAGCATAAGTGAAGATTAGAACTTGAGTAAAGTTTCCTGCAATTACTTCAGTAGAGTAATTTAAACAGATAATTAAGTTATTTCTCTTTTTTCTTATAGTATAATATAAACCAAGTCCTACCAATTTTAATGGCTTTATTTTTGTTAGCTTCAATTGAATTACTCTGTAACCAGATACATCTATGATCATGTATGGAATTTTTGGAATAAGGCATTTTCAAGATGGAAAAGGTGTTAAGAAAGCTTTGCCTATGCTAGGTAAAGTGCAGATTTTAAAGTCTAACCTGGTTCCTTTATCTCCCTGAAATAAAAGTGCTAAAACCTGCTGCAGAATAGCATATTGCAACTCATTGATATTTTGGATTTTTATCAAAGTACACACAACTTCTTGTTGGTTCGATCAATTGTTATGTAAGTGTAGATTGAGTCCTGTTAAAGCACTTGCCCCTCAAAGGGAAGACCTGTTGCTTTCATGAGGAAAAATTTGCCTCACTTTCTGGCCTAGGCATGCAAAATCTTCAGTTGTAATTAATTCTCCATGCATGTAATTTAACTTCAGTAATTACTCAAAGTGCACAAAGTTGAATTTAAGTACGAGTCACTTCAGAATTGGGGCAAAGCTGTGTCTATGTATATATGTATATATATATATTTATTTATTTATTTATTTATATTTATATAAATATATACACACCCTGCAGCAGTTTGTAACCCATAATTTCCAAATAAATTTAAATTTCATTATGAGAGTAGATCTGTTTGCTATCATGTGTGACTAAGGATCATGATATTTAGTATTTGCATATTAACAGGATTCCAAGCTTTTTAAAATCACAATTGAAATTAATACACTAATAAGTTTGTGTTGTGCATTAATTTGTTTTTTCCCAAATATTTTAGGTTACCACTTTCCTCTATGGTTTTTGGTACCAATGCTTTATTTACCAAGCCTGCCCAATCTTTGGCTCCAATGGTTGTGGTTACAATACTAAATCATTATGGCTATTATAACCTGAATAATGTACCTGGTCATCCTGATATAAGGTGAGTTAAAAAGAGATACTTTAAATCTTAGAAAATAACATTAAATACTCCTGTACTCTAAAAAGCAAATTGATCAGCAATTAGATGCATCAACTGCACTTCAAAAACATAAACACTTTAAAAATACTTATCAGTTGTTTCTGTCTGTGTAGAAGTACAAATGTTTTTTAAAGAGTAAATAATTTATTAAACAATATGCATCAGGATATCTTTTAAAAGCAAAAAATCCATTTTTTATTTGAGAGAAAGCAGTATAATCATTGGAGGGAGGGAATTTGCCCCAAGTAGGAATGTATCATTTTGGCTCTGATGCTCCCTACCATTCTAATGCAAATGATTTCATTGTGGTCCCTGGAGACCTTAATACAGCATAAAGCTGTGGTTGCTGGTTAGCTGGACATGTGTGGGCTTTTATAAAAATAAATTAACAGGGAATAACCACACTGAAAGGGTCACAGGCTGTAATTATGACCATCAGGAGGAAGTGGCAGCATAAGGAGTAACTGAAGTCGGGGCTAAATGGAAAAATCAGTCCTGATTAGGATTTACTTGAGGAAACAGTATGAATATCCTGAGAACTACATAGCTCTCCTAAATTTTAGTAAAAACCTAAAGAAACAGATGTACACAATTTTATATGAGCTTTTGTGGAGACAGCTCCCGAGGGAGAGAGGTCTGGTTATGTGTCCCCTAAGGTTAGGAGAACATTCTGTATTTGAGAAATTTTCTAAAAAAATGGATGAGGACAAGCATGACATAAAAGAACAACAGGTGGTCTTCAGAAATGCATCCAGACAGAAGCAAAGGCAGCTTAAGTTTGAGGCTATGTGTGAGAGCAGCTTATTTTAATGCATTCTGTAGATAGGCAGTGAGATGATGTGAAGAGGACATGAACCTCATTATAATGTCAAATATGATGAGTGAGTTTTGCAGAAGAGTGATAGGTTGAACTGGATGTGGATATGAGAGAGCAGAATATATTAATCTTGATGATTCAGAGAAATTCAGGTTTGAAACGTAAAAACTGCAGTTCTGATCCGTTTCAATCAGAGAAATGATCCCTTTGTGGATGGATTTTAGATCACAGTAGACATAAATCTTTTTTGCCTGGTAAATAGCCCCTGGACTATAGCAACAATAAATTTATTATATAGAGTTGAAATACTTGGAATGCTCAACTATAAAACCTGTGTTTTCACTTGAGTCATGCTGAAATTTTATTTATTTCACTTGGGCCAGGAACAGCATAAAACATACAAAGCTGAGACTAGTGAATCAGAACACCTGAAATATATTATGTATTTCTCTTGCCCATCCTTTCAAAAATAATTTCTTAAATATTAAGCAGTTTGCCTGTGTTTTCTGTATATGCAGTGTGTGAATGGGTTTTCTTTTGCTTGCAAATGGAGTACAGGTTTGATATACAACCCATAAAGACCAGAAAACTCGAAGTTGTTTCTAGGGAGTCAGTTTGCCCTTGGCAATGTACTCAGACCACTGACTGAGCTATGATTACTTATATATATATTAAAAACCTATTGACTGATCTCATATTCCAGCCATAGGCAAACAGTTAAAATACACTTGCCCCAGGACAAAATTGTTTGAAGACAAACAGAAATTAAATGCAAGAGATTGTTTAAAATATGCTCAAACTGTTTTGGGGGAAAAAAGGCATTTCACATATGTGAATTATAAAAAATGAAGTATTATGACCCATGCCAATACAATCTCAGCTCTGTCCTTCCTCCTTGTCCAAAGCCAGCAATATCTAATAAGTGTTTTGGAAAGCATTTGGTTTATTAGGTGTAGTAGCAGTGAATTGTGAAGATAGTACAGAGGACCCTTATTCTGCATTAACAAAATGTTTGGGCCTTGAAAATATGTCTGAAGAGTTCCAAGAAATGTTGTGTACTGGGACAAGGCAGAATATGCAGTCTATACACTATTTGCTGCATTCTGAATTATTTTCAGTAATTTATATTACTAATAATTATTACTTTTTCTTGAACTGAGAGTTAAACTGTAGCAACAATGATGGAGCAGCTAATCCTGGAAACCTCCAGGCACATTAAGGATAATGAAATCATCAGTAATAGCCAGCATGGCTCCACCAAGGCGAAATGATGCTTGACCAACTGATAAACTGCTACAGTTAAATGACTCACCTGGTGGGCAGGGGAGGACAGTGGATATTGCCTGCCTGCACTGCATTCCTAATGACCAGGATGATGGGGCAGGATGGACCCTCAGGAAGTTTGGGGATGACACGAAGCTGAGGCTGTGGCAGGTGCACAGAGGGTCATGCTGCCACTGGGGGGATCTCGACAGCTGGAGAAATGGGCTGGAATGGTACCTGGGGCTGCATTACACAAAGTCCTGCCAGCAGGGCAAAGGTGATCCTTCCCATCTGCTCATGCATTGTGCCACATCCTTAGGAAATGTGGTCCCTCTACAGAAGTTAAGCACTTTGTCATGGAAAAGGATTTTTTAATATCCTTAAAATTTAAGCAATACTTTGAATGGAGTGTCCTGATTTTTCCTTTCTTCCATCATCATGGCAATATGTGCCCTGTATGGCTTGAGATGTTTTTTGTTCTTGTTTGGGATTGTTTTTTTTTTTTAGTTTGGCTTGATTTTTTTTTTCTTTGCTATGGAAAAGACGGCTGGTTTAAAACCTCCCTCTTCTGGAGAGCCACTGCAACTACCACCAGTTTCTCTTGAGAGTGCTTTTCAAATTCATTCTTCAGAATAAAGTTATTTGGCAGCAACTCTTCACCATTTATTGAAGACACTTTAAACTGTTAATGCTTTCATGTTGAATTACTGAATTACCTGACATTCTTTTCAGAGTGATTTTATGGCTGTTTAGGGAAACATTGTATGTTTTATTCTGTAGGTGCAAAAAAACAAAGGTAGATGTGGAAATTTCTGAAGTTACTTGTTCAGCTGTAGTTGTGTTAAAATCCAAGCTCTGCTCTTGATATATCCCAGTCCCTTAATGAAATATTTTCCCATTCCTTGTTTTGTGTATTATAGATATTTTTTCATAATTCCTGCAATAACTTAGGGTTTTACAGTACAATAGGTAATATTATTTTCTTAAATCAGCGTTGTTCCAGTGAACCCAAATCAGGATTGCACAGTGTGACTGATTTTGCAGATGTTCTTTGTGTAAAGATGGAATAAGGTTAGCAGTGAAAACTGCAATCCTCTTTAGAGTACAGAACAGGACAAATGCAAGCCCCAACATCCTGTTAACTGTGTCTGAGTCCTGTTCTCAGTGTTAGGTGGTAAAGTGATGTGTCTGTGGCCTCCCTGCTGTCTCTGCTTCTGCAGTCCCTGGGGCCAGTTGTGCCAGAGCTGTGCATGATGTGGGCTCCTTCCCTGGTAGGTGCACTGGAAATGCAGTTGGATACAGGCCAGTAAACAACTCCAAATGGTAAATTATTGTCACTGCCAATAAACATTGGCTATGGACCAGTGGCCTGCTAGTGAACACTTCCAGTCATAAATGCAATTGCCCGAGTGATTAAGTGATTCACTTGTGAGCCTGCGGGCTTTTGTTTTCTTATGTAGCATTAGCGTGTACATGACTCGAGATAAACTCTGCTCCTTTATGAGCCTGTGCCTGTACTAAGGGCAGAATCTGGCCTTTGTGGGAGGTTGCAAACATTTTTTCTGTTAAACCGAGTGAAACATCAGTTGATTCTTTCATGATTCAGAGCCCTTAAGTTTTATTCAAAAACCTGCTCAGGGTTTGGGATATTTTTCACACATTTCAGGTTTTTTGGACCATGTCCATAGCTGTTCTGTGAGTCTCTTATCCCTGAATGCTAAGGAAAAAAATTAGAAAGGAACATAAACTGCCTCATGGAGAGAAAGTTCACTTAGGGGCTGTTTCTCAGCTTGAGTTGACTTTCCTGATATTTAAGTAATTAGAATCCCATAATTAACAGAATGCAAGTAGATAATGATTCCAGCTACTAGATGAATGCCAAAATGCATGCTTTGAGCTGTCAGAAACCATACTGCTCATAAAAGGGAGCTCATTTAATTCCTGTATTTTCTTTCTTCATTCACATTTGCTGATGCTTTTATTTATTTTTCATTAGAGAAGTTTTAGATGAGGAAATGCCATGCATTCATTAGAAAAAATGAAAACTAGTGTTAATTTGACATGCATTCTTTCTATGGCTTATATTATCCTGTAATAATTTATTTTAAAACCAAATGAAATAAGGCTCAATATTTCAAACAGCCCTTGAAACAACACCTGAGTTTTGTGCAATTATCATTACTTCTATCTAGCACTCAGCAACTAAAACAACACACTATGTGGATAGTTAGTAGCAGATTTCAACTCAAATAAATTCATTTCATGTTCAAATGTTTGCTTCCATTTTCTACTTTCTCTTCCAAATTTTTCAGTCTTACTAAAGCTTTTTGGATGCTCTGTTCTATAATTGGATGAAATTTGCTTAAATTGATTTCTATATTACATAATCAGGAAAGTAGTGAACAAGATTTCTTAATAACTGTATTAAAATTAACTCTTTGTGTGCTAATTGTCTGAATTCCTCCCAGGTAGAGAAAACAATATATATAATACATACCAGTATGTAGAATTAGGAAATAGAAAAGATATTTCTATTTCTTTTAATTAGAATTGACTGTACAGTAGCATGTCTATGTGTTTATAATGGGAATGTTTTAAAAATAACTTTAGTGACCATGTTTAGTGACCATGGAAGTTAATCTTCATATTGAAAGCTGTATTCTCATCTGTTTCAGCAGGTCATTTTTAGACCTCCATGATGCCATGTTCTACCTTGTCTGTCTGGTTCCCCTCTGCATTGCAGTCCTACAGATCCTGACCTGGACTCCCTTTTCCATCCAGAACAGCCACCTGGCAGCTCCACAGTAAATACGGAACCAGTGGTCAGTGTATCTCCTGCTGAACCACAAGAGTTCAGTAAATTTTTCATGTGAGAAAGCAAAATTGCAAGTTGAAATACAGTTTGAGTTTTTTCAGTAAAGCTGTATTTTCAGTCTCTGTGAGTCCCATTCAGCCTTAATGCTGAACCTACACAAGCTTTTCCTAGCTCAGTTGCTTTCTGTTGATGGGTTTTATCCTTAATTACTTTATTTAAAGTAATTTCTGGTATATAATGATTTCTGTTAACTCATTTGAAGAAAAGATATGGCAGATCAGGGAAAGGGATCCCAACCCAGCACCTGGAATTCAAGGGAACTGTATTTTCTGAAGCTTACTAGTGGATTCATTTTGCCGTACTGATAAAATGGCAGATCTCTGAAATTAATCTGGAAGATCCCAGTGGACATCCCTCATGGATGGCAGGGAGATGAAGAGAAAAATTTAGATGGTGTCTAGCTGGCCAGTATCAAGACAAATCTGACAGCTACCATGGGAAGAGCCAAGAGTAATTAACTACCCTGTAAAAGTCTGTGCAAGGCTAAAGAAGAAAAGGATTCAGATGTTGTTCAGTGTTGCTCAATATGGAGAAATCTCTGTAAATCCTCACTGGCTTTCCAAATCTCTGCTTGGTGGAAGGTCAGTGCAGTTTTCTGGCTTTAAGTGGGAAAATAATTTTGAAGATATCCTATAGGTAGTGCTTCATACAGAATGTCAGTGTGGCAAGGACAGCATTAGTCTGTGGATGTAGGGTTCAGCTGTTGGACAAATGTAATCACACACAGTTACTAAACCAAGCTCTACCTGTTCAGTGGTGTTACATTGGTAAATTCATTTGGTGTGTGACAATTTCTGAATCATCAAGCAGAAGTTAGTTAATTTCTGATTAATTCTTACCAGTTTAGATTTTAAATTAATCCTGTGATTTTTATAAAATAAAGGGTTTTTGACAAAATTTCAGAAACATTGAGTCCTCTTCATTTCATATGTTGTAATGATAAGACACGAGTGTGTTTACAGTACTCCCATTTAATCAATAGTATTCTTTCGCCAGTATATCCACAGTGTAATTGTGCAGTGATAAATACCTTTAGCATAATACAATCACTGCATTTTTGTATTTTGTTTTGCCTGGGCAAACACAGTTTTAATAACACCTTTCTTAGGGAGTGCTACTTGAAAGAATAAGAGCATTGTGTGGATCCCAGTTTTAAAAGGCTGAGCCGGCTGATTTTCAAGGATCTGTACTTACTGTGACTGGTAACTTGGAAAAGACAGGAGTGTAAGAAATGGCTCTGCATTGTGATGGACACCAGCATAATTTAATGAAGAAGTTTGAGATCTGAGATACCAGAGTTGAAAAAAACATTCATTTGTGCCTTGGCTTTTGCATTTGCAGAGCAGAAATAAAATCATTTCCCTTCATTTTTTGAAGTGTGAAGTGCTTTCAAGGTGGTGAATGAAAAAGCAGGAGATCATCATTAAATATTTAGAAATCTAAATGAATCCTTTGATAGGAATGTGAAGATTTATGTTAAGATGTAAGAAGCCAGAAGTGTGGTGAAGTTTGAAGTTGCCTTATCTGGTTTTTCTCTGTCTTGTCAGAGACACTGTTGCCCATTTGCATTGTGCATGCTGACAGCATTATGTGCACATACAGCATCACTTGTGTAAATACTCTGTGGATAGGTAAATACAGATACCAGAGCAGATACAGCCTGTGTGTTTAGGTTTTGAATTTGAAAAGATTTCCTGCATTATATGTATTTATTTTGTGTCTGAAAGACAGGAGCAGAAGTTGAAGGAATTTAAGTTAATATAAACTTTGATTCATTATATGAAACAGTCTTCTCCCTGACAGTTCCTTTAAAATGGTAATAACACAATAACAAAAAATACTCTCTTTTTTCTTTACTATTTTTGTATTTCCTAAATTTCCCATGTTCATCCTATCCTCATAGAATATATATTTTAACATATACAATAAAATAATGTTATTGTACCACAAATAGGGTTTGTTAGGTGACTCTATTAGTTATTTCTAATATTAAGTTATTAGAATATAGTGTACAACTGGAACAGTATTGTGCTATACAACTGGAAATCTAATAAGTGGTTTTAAGAGGAAAAATTACATCAAGAAATCTTCAAAATCATCAGAATTATTTTTTCTGGAAAATGTCTGGTAAAATTACCATTAATTTACTGAAATAAGAAAGGAGTAAGGAGTGATACGACTCAATGCACTGTTTAAATAGGCTCTACAATCTGCTACATCTCTAGAATTCCTACAGGAAAAGTAAATAATCAAAGATTTCTAAGCAAGACAGCCTGAAGACAGGAGACATTAACTGTAGAATAAACTGATTTAAAAAAAAACCCTGAGAAATAAAATTCAAATTATTTAATATGTAAAATATTGATAATTTTCAAATTTTATTATGCACTATTCTCCCATTTGTCTGTCCTATTTTCCTTGCTATAAGGGCAGGAGAAATGTCTTTTAGAGCACCAATAGTCAATCCCAAAGAGGACTGAAAGAGTGCTTTAAATTTGGGTGGTGGTCTTCCTACGGGAATAGAAGGTTGGCACTGTGCTGTGACTGACATTGCTTATTCTCCATTTCTCTGTCACCCACTAAACTTTGTTATCTTCTGCTAAACCTACATGATTGGTTTTGGCTGTGAATCAAGTAAAGGATGATCAAAGGCAAAAGTTCAGTGTCTTGCAACAGCTGGTTTCCCTGCTTTCTCTCCTTATTAGCCAACAGTATCTGAGCTTGAACTCCCACTGCTGGAAAAATGCCTCAATTTAATCTTGATAATTTAAGAGTGTCTAAAATAGTCTCATAACTGATAAAGAGGCTATAAGTGTGTGTGTAGTATAAAATATGAAATGCTGTGGTAAGCTCAGAGGAGGAGAAATGTGATGCTTGAATCCATTCTTAGAGTTTCTCTATAAATTCTGAGAATATGGGACTTAATACATTGAATGAATTTCATTTATTGAAAATCAATAGGCAGAAATGTCTGCTAGACTTAAAAGGATATTGCTCAATAGACACTAAAGAATGTTAGTCTAATATAGTAGTAATATAATATATGGTGATAGAGTGAAAATATCGAATAAATGACAACAAAGCATATTTAATTTTAAGTGTGGAAAAATGATGTTTTGTGGAGCTTACAAGCCCACCTTTTGGTCTTGTACAAAATGACTTTCCCAGTCTCTTGCTGCCCTGATTTTGGAACCACTCAGTAATCCATGAATGTACTGTGTTGACATGGCTGGTAGGAATGTTTACATTTGAATACAGTTCTACAGTCTAATGGCTGCTGTCAGGAAAGACAAGCAGGAAGGGGAAGGAGCACTTCAGATAAGCCACATCTCCGCAAGTATTTCCAGGCACTTCCTTGCCATAATTAAGACAGCTGGGGGAAAAGGCTCAGTAGTACATGCAGACAAAAAAATTCCAGCTGGTTTGGTAAAGGAACATACAACTGAGACTGGGGGGAGTTGTCCTGAAGGTCAGGACAGACCCACAACTGGGTTTCCTGGGTTACCTTTAGGGGAGAGGATTTCAGATATCTGTGTTTACCTTAAAGACCTCTTTCTGGTAATCCCTTTCTTGCTAATGTTTAAATAATAGAAGGGAAAGTTGTTTTAGCACTGCATTTTATTGGGAAAATTGAGGATTTTCCTCATAGACTACACGAAGCCAGCCCTGCCACCGAGCCTACTCCAAAAGCCAGGCTCCTTGGGTCACCACAAAGCAACAAGGGCTGTGTTAAACCTTGTGGGTGTATTTGGGACCATTTCGGCTCCAGGGATTCAACTGATTGTAGAAATTTCCCATCAAGACAAAGAAAAATGCTCTCCAAATAGTGGAGCAGAAAAAAAAGTTATTGCATTATTTCTGGGAATCCTTTCCCAGCACACTAATAGAATGAAAAGGTTACTTACACCACAAATGGTTTGCTGAGGTTGTCCAGCAATTGTTACAACTCCACCAGCTTATGTGCAAATAACTATACATCAAAATTATTACCTAAATATGCATGAATAGTGAGTTTTTTATGGCTTGTCAAGAGAAAAATATGCTGAATATACAACTACTGCATCAGAATATTAATGACAAATATAACACTGGGTAGGAATTTTGAAAAATTCCATTAAAACACGCCTAGGTTGTATGCTAATGATGCAAAGACAAAAGCTAGCAAATTTCTTATATGCAAACAATTATCTGTATTTTTTATGTGATAAAACCAAGATATGTTTCCCTGTGAACATGTAAGTAACCCAAAGCAATTTTATTTACTGACTTATAGTATTGTGAGCAAATGTCTGCTTTAAAAGCAGCAAATTTATCTTTTGTCATTTTGGATTTTGATTATAAAGTTGTTTTATTCCTGGAGGGAAAAAAATAAACTAGTCTGTCTTTACAAATAAGAACAGGCATGGAAAGGAGAGTCTTAATCCCAAACCAAATAAAAATAGACCAAAAAGGCATTCTAGCCTATCTACTGGAGAGAAACAAACAAACAAACAAACAAAACAAAAACAAAGAAACCCAAAACAAAAACCCACAAAAAATAAAAACCCCCAAAACAAAACAAACAAAACCAAACCACCAACAACAAAAAACACAAAAAACAATCTTCAGTGGAAAACTGTCTAAAGCTCTCAAGTCAAAAACTTTCCTCCAGGGAGTTAAACATCAGTGAAAATGAACCGAACACAAAAATCCTCTGGCAATATTCTGTTGTTGCTCTGATTTCCCAAGATAAGCAAGGTTAGATGTGATCAGTGCTTGATCAGAGGAGGTTCCAGGTAAAAGCCAGGATCCCAGTGCCACCCTCACCAGGAGATGAAGGGGCTGGACTCAGCCATCAAATCTGATGAGAAGGAGAGGCCCCGCTCTTTACCAGCAATTGTTCGCCCCGCGGCCCTCAGTCCCACGTGGGGCTGATAGGGCGGCGCCGAGCCCGTGCGCCAGCGCCGCCGAGGCGGCCACCGCCCTCCCGCCGCTGCCGGCGGTGCCCGGGGCGGGGCCGAAGGAGGAGCCCGGCTGAGGGGCCCTGCCCGGCCCCGCTCCGGTTCGAAGGCAGCGCGGCCCCGCCCGGCCGTTCCGAGGGAGAGGGAGGGAGCGGGTGCGCGCCAGGCCCCGGCGTGTCG